GATAATGTACTTCATTGAATTTTTAAACTCTGAGATTATGTCAGGGAACTTTGCACAAAGAAGATGTGCAAAAATATTTCTTTGATGAGTGAGAAACCTTGAAATAACAGTAAGTTTTTAATAGCTTCTAAAAGCTCATTCCATATGTTTTCCATAATACATATCCAAGATCTTCCATCTTATTAATTATTGGCATATTTCATGTAAGAATTACTAAGCAATAAAATAGTTAAAATGCAAATCTAAAAAATTGGCTTTCTTCCTAATTAAACAATAAAAATATAGTCAATACATATTTATGACAATCTTGATTCTTATTCTAGATTATTCTTTTTTTTTTTTTTTTTTTTGGTACCAGGGATTGAACCCAGGGGCACTCAACCATTGAACTACATCACCAGCCCTTTTATTTTTTATTGTAAGACAAGCTCTCACTAAGTTGCTTAAAGATTCACTAAATTGCTGAGACTGACTTTGAAATTGGAATCCTCCTCCCTCAGCCTCCCAAGCCACCAGGATTATAGGTGTGTGCCACTGCACTCAGCTAGATATTTTCTACTTTTTGCCTCAATTTTATGCCTTAAATTATGCAGCATTTTAAAAGTAAATAAGCATAAATATTTTGATATCCAGACACATAAAAGGAAGTCTTACTAAACAGAATCATTACAAAGCTGTAAAGCTAATTCACCTAATTCTATTTACTTAAACATGGGGCATTTTATTAAATCTGTATACAGTTTAATACTTTCTGAATTACTACTATAGATTATTCAATGCTTAATAAAATGTTGGTATCAGATTTGAGGGGAGAATTTATGCTCATTTCTCAAACTGCTTATGTTAAGAATACAGGATGGCAGTGTGTTTCCTTACCAAAAGCATCTGAGGCACTTTTTAAAGAGCAGATTCCCAGCTTCCACCCTAGAGAGTTCTGAGAGTGCATCTGAAAGAAAAGCTGGAAATTTTTGAAAAAATCTTCCACTTATCCTCTTTTTTTTTTTTTTTTTTTTCAGGGGTGGGTACTGAGGATTGAACCCAAGGGCACTCGACCACTGAGCCACATCCCCAGTCCTATTTTGTATTTTATTTAGAGACAGGGTCTCACTGAGTTGCTCAGCCTTAGTTTTGCTGAGGCTGGCTTTGAACTCAAGATCTTCCTGTCTGACTCCCGAGCCACTGGGATTACAGGTGTGTTCCACCAAGCCCGGCTCTCTTCCAATTATTCTAATGATCAGCCAGGTTTGAGAAATAACAAACATAGACTACAAGAAAGTTTGCAGTGATTCCTGCCAGATCTTAAAAAATTGCTAATGGACCCACATAAACACAAAAAATATTGATCACATTAATATCTATTCTGAATTACGTTTTCAAGTAGACTTTTGTTGAATGAATGAAGTTCCCTATGTCATAAATACTGAGCTGTCACAAAATATTTTTAATAGATTACAGAGAGGTTTGATCAGTTTTAATTCTTAAGAATACCATGTACCACAATTAAAGAGTTACAACACCAACCATTTTGTCTAAAAAGAGCTATACCTAAAAACAGTGAATTATAATTATTATTCTAACCTGCAACCATATAGTATGATATACTTTTCAAAGTATTTCAGATGCACTGTCATTTATACTCCCGATCATTCTGTGAAATACATTCACCATGTTTTAACAATAACAAAAAATGCACTCCAAAATCTATTTCTACAAAATATGTAAATAATGAGTCCTGGTCATCCCTATAAGGAAACCAGAGGCAAGTTAACATCAATGGTCTTCACTGATATAAATTATCTAAAAGCTTTTGATAATACCTGCTACAATAAGAACAAACTTACAAAAAATGGTGATTAGGCAGTAACTAGGAAAATAAATTTTAAAAGCTATCACATCCTCTGGGAAGACAACTGACAAAAGTATACAGTCCAGGCTACTGATGTGTATCTTTATGATAAAACTAGTACTAGTCTATTATATTTTATAACAGTCTTAAACACGTTGTGAACACACCATAACTAGAGAATTATACCAATATAATTTGAATATATAGAAAAATAACTCAGAAAGTCCTGTATTATTTCTGATATGCTGATGTCCATTTCCATATATAAACCAGTTACTGGAATAAATACTAGTAAAGGATAAGTGACTGCAGAAGTATAGTATATACAGAGATATGGCAAACAGAAGACAATTACAAGTAATGCAGAAAAAATGATGAGAAGTCAGATGGCACCATCACTGGCAATCCTAGATGACAGGAAGATTATAGGAGAATCACTAAACAAATGAAATAGTGTCATGATTCAATCTTTACAACCAATACAGCACTTAACATTTTCAAACCCTAAGGACAATGACCTGCTCATTTTGGAATAAACTTAGACTCAAATTAAGTCATATTGGACTAATAAGTTTTAAGTTTTAAGCAAACATGGAAACAAAGCTAATAATGAAAATAGTATTTCACTAATCCTTATATTACAGTAACATTGTTTTTCCACAAAGCATCACATTTGTGAATGCTACATCTTCTGCTGTTATATAATTGAAAATTACTGGAATAGTTTCTTATAAGTCAAACACTGAATTGAAAAAAAAATTCAAGTTTTAAGATTTGCCTGATCTATTTCACAAGACACCTTTAATAGGTTTATTCTATTTCACAAACAAAAACGATCTCCATAATTACTATGAAATTTTCTGAGCCCTTTGACTGATTTCTAAATTATATTCCCAGTACTATATTAAATTTGTGCCACCAATTTCAATATGCTATATGACTCAGATTTTCCTACTTCATTGTAACTTTTCAGAAAACTTAATTGCTATAAATTATTTAGTTATGTATCATTTGCATAAATCAGGCATGTATTTAATTATGCAAAATTATAGTATGTTTGTCATTTTGAAATATTTTGAGATATAAATACTGTGCAACTATTCCAGAAGATGGCAAAGGCATTACCTTCCTTACAGTTTATTGACCAGTTCTAAAAATTCAAGTAGTGTGATATATAGTAAAGCCTCTAATTACTGCTGGAAGAATAAATGAGACATAATTTACCCCAACAAATAAATCATATCTAGTTTTGGAAGGCTTTAGTATCATACTTCTCTCATAATCAACAAGGAGTAAAAATTCATGTGCACTACAAAGACCTCAATATCCTTCACACCAGCACCACTTACTGAATTCAACCTAACTGACGATATCTGGAGGAGGAATTTAGTCTAGACTGCTTGATCTAGGTAAAGCTAGGATGCCTGGTGCTCTAGGTGGCAGAATACATGGAAAAGGGGAGGAGAGACTTGAAAAGATGGGGGGGGGGGCTGGAGTAAACTCTCCTCTGGGGGTGAATAACTACATAAATAATTACTATGAGTTCTGTTTTATTAGTAATTTGGATTGTTATACTAGTTTTGTAACCCTAATCACTACTACTACAAAAAAAAAGAAAAAAAAATACTAACTTGAGGAAAATGAAATGTCTTGTCAAGATCCTTTCCATAGCAATACATTAGGTACAATCTGGAAAATTTTCACTTTGATGTCTTTTTAAAAAATATTTTTAAAAAACACTCTTTAGTCCCTATTCTACAATTTCAATTTTTGTTTTTAGTTTTACTCCATCTTGTCCTACCTTTGGTTTGTTCTAGTACTCCTTTTCCCTCCTAGACATTACAGATATACAGAGATACAAAACAGAACAACTTAAGCAATTTAAATACCACAACTTATTGCCTACAAGACATCAAACCAAGATAGTGGATGTAAATCCTGTGAAACATACATAAAGGAATAAAATTAAGCTACCAAACTCAAACACAAAATCTCTGTTAAAAACCCAGAAGCATGGCTGGGGAGGCTGAGGCAGGAGGATCATGAGTTCAAAGCAAGCCTCAGCAAAAGCAAGGCACTAAGCAACTCAGTGAGATCCTGTCTCTAAATAAAATACAAAATAGGGATGGGGATGTGGCTCAGTGGTCCAGTGGCCCTGAGTTCAATCCCCACTATACCCCCAAAACAAACAAACAAACAAAAAACAATAAAGAAAAAACCGAGAACCAACACATACACATTCTCAAAATCTTTTTTAATATATAATTCTCCATAAAGGACAAGAATTGTGCTTGAGGCAATAATCAATAGCCCAGAGTAATTGCTGAAACTCCTAACTTTACCACAAAAGTTCTACTGAGATATTAATTGAAAATTCCGTTTAAAATATACTGCTTACTAAAGAAATGTAAACAAGCACTGGGGCCAACTTTAAGATACTGTTTAAGAAAGAATAAAACTATATATACACATCCAACACCTGTGACTTAAATAAACTAAAAAGGAAAGTAAGTTTATTGAGAAGTACCTTAATAAAGATGAACCAAGAGAACTGGAAACCAGTGGAATTATTTGCTTATGAGACCTACCCAAAGCCGCCTTTGGGTACGCAAATTTTAACCTCCAATGAATTGCCTGAGGTTGGCTGGGTTTCTTTCCTATCTGCTCATAATTGCAGGCAGTGAAACCTGAACTAATAATTATGGCCAAGAGGTGAATGCCTTCCAGCGTGCCACCCCGGGGCACACCCCGGGGCACACCCCAGGACCAGCGGACAGCTAGCGGTGCTCTGCTGAGTTCTCTATTAAGGATGTTTCCCCCGGCTCTTGAAGAATTCGTTTAATAAAAAATCTCTCGGGGACTTTTTAAAAAACAGAAAAGTGCTAACAAAATAACCTTTTCGCGGTTTTCATAATTTTGATGGGTGTATGTTACAAAGCCATCAAACCGAACTCCCGGGAGAACCTGCGGACCTGACCTTACAGGGTCGAGAAGGTCCCTAGATAGAAAGAGGGGGAAAGCAGAGCACCTATTGGGTGGGCTCGGGACCCGACAGCTGCAGGTCCCACTCCCAGGGACGTCGCCCGCAGCAGCACCGACAGGTGCAAACTCGAGCGCGCGCTGCAGCGCGGCGGCGGCAGCCCCCCGCCCGTACCTGATGATGTCGTCGCTGTGGCCCCGGTAGAACTTCTGCCGGTGCTCCCGCGGGCTGTACACCACGCCGACCCCCGCCACGAAGTACACGATCTCCTTGGCCGCCGTGTAGTAGAGGTTGTTGCGGCACTGGTGGCCCCGGTAGCCGTACACCCACTCGAGCCGCAGGTGGCAACTCGGGGCGCTCCGGGCCGCCATGTCGCGGCGCCCACCCCGCCGCTCCGGTTCGGGCCCGCGGCGGCCGCGGGAGGCAGCGGCCCCGCGAAGAACGCCCTCCCGCGGGCGGCCGGCACTTCCCGCCCGCCGCGTCCTCTAAGCTGCGCCCCGCAGGTGCATCTCGCCGGTGTGGCCGCCGCCGCCTCAGCCCACGGGCGGGAGGACAACCCTCGCCTCGCGGAACATGCTGAGGGCCGCGGGCGCCGCCGGCCGTCAAGTGGGTGCCTCGAGCCCTCCGCCCGCCTCGGCTCGCCGCGTCTGCTCAGCCCGCAGCGCCGAGGCCGTGAGAGGAGCAGAGCGAGGGGCCCGCCTCCAGCCCGCAGCGCCGCGTCTCTCTCAGCCGCCGCCCGCGCACCAGCTTGCGGCCCGGGTCACCTGCGGCGCTCGCGCTCAGCCGCGGCCTCGTCGCCACAGCCCGGCGGGCCCGCGCCGCGCGCTCCCGAGCCGAGCTGCGAGGAGCTGAGCGGCGGGCGCGCGGCCCCGCGCTCGCCCCGCCCCTGTCGCGCTCGCCCCGCCCCGCCCGGAGCCGGGAGAGGCCGGGAGTTGCCAGGGCCGCAGCCAGGGTGGAGGTCCCGCGCGGTCGCTTTCCTAGCTAGCCAGCGTCCCGAGCCCCAGTGGCCGGTTCCCACCCGCCTCTCAGGCCCTGGGCGAACCCTCGGGGACCCCGGGTTCCTGTTGCCCGGCGCCCTTGCCCAGGAAACGCCTGCGGGTCCCTCCTGGCGCCTGCACCCGACCTGGGCGGTCTGTGCCTGGGAGTTAACACCAAGATGCTAACTTCATTCTTTTTGCTTTTCTCTGGCACCTTGTGTTTTTCTTGCTGCCAGGTAGTGATATTTGATTAAATGGGAATAAAATCGGACTTCCTAAGCGTACATTTGACACGTCAGGTCCAATTTCCTAATAAATAGCAAAGATGCCTGGACTTTTAAAAAAAAAATTGCTGTTTTGGATATCGCCCATAGCCTCTTGATTAAATGATATCTTGTGGGGCATATCATATGTCCTAATAATCGCAAGTCAGATGGTTTAAATCTTGTGATCAAGTAGAATGTCGGAGAAAAGATGTTGGCTATTTAAATTTAAGCAGTATAATTAGAAAAGATTAAATATTTTGTTGCTATAAGTTCATGATACATTAATTACTGGTTACATGTAATTTTTATGAGATGGGGTTTAAAATATTTTCAGATTTTTCAGCACAATGTGTGTAGATCCCATGATACATATTTAAGACTCAGATTAATAACAGATTTAAGTAATTTATTTCCTATTATCATATTTTCCATTACAATTTTTAATGACCCAAGGGTAGAGTGTGAAGTAAAAACATTCTTAATTAAACCATCCTCAGATGACAACTGAAGACCAAAAGAGATGGCTGAGGCACAAAGGTAGCTAGAAAATGAGCCAGTAATGAATATTCAAGGAAAAAAAAACAGTTCTTACCCTCACAGCTTTATATAATCTATTATTACTAAGGTCATATCAGAAAGTTCTATCAGGCTAGATGAGATACCAACATCCAGAACCTTAGAAAATAAAATAAAGATGTGGGGTAAAGAACCAAAATGTTCCTCAGATCTACAAGTGGACATCTGTTAGACATTTAAAATAAAAGATACAATATCCCTTCTGGTCATCTATTTCTTGAACTGTGAATTCCTAATATGGAGTTCTATATTCTATATATTTTAAATAGTTTCTAAAATTCAAGCAAATAACAAATTATTTGCTGGCTACTATTATGTACTGGCACTGTGCTAGGTATTCTTAGGTCTATAAGAAGAAACAGAACAAACTATGTAAGATGTAAAAGCCAAAATTAATGCTATTAATTCTAGTTAGGTAATACAGAAAATTTATGAATTATAATATTTTAATAATGTCAATAAAATAACTCTATAACCATACCTTTGATCAGTCTGTTTTATGTACAAAGCCAAGCACTGTGCCTGACACTATAGTGGATGTTCCATACATATTCACCAGCCATTAAATATAAAACAAGGGGCTGGGATTGTGGCTCAGCTGTAGAGTACTCGCCTAGCACGAGGAAGGCCCTGGGTTCAATCCTCAGCACCACATAAAAATAAATAAAATAAAGATATTGTGTCCAGTTACAACCAAAAACTAAATATTTAAATTATATATATATATACTAGTTATATATATATAAAACAAAATGTCATGCTGTCATAATATGATTCCTCTTATTTTATTCATGAATACTTGGACCTTTCATAACATGAGCCTTTTCTGATATCCAGTACTGTACTGGTCAGGACTCTGTTTGTACATGACAAAACCACTAAAGATGAATTAAGATAAAAATAAATCTTAATATCTCATAAGATTGAAAAGCCCTAGAATTGGCATCAGTGAGCCTAGGCCCTAGAACTCAAGTGATGCCATCAGAACCAAATAACCAGAATTCATTCATGTCTGCTTTGGATTAACTCCATTGCCAGACAAGCAAAATAGCTGCCACCAACTCCAGTTATACATTCTACCCCTTAGCAGTCCCCATGAAAAGAGCTTTTTCTCCGTGGTTCCTGAAAGAACTGTTGGGCAACTCCCAACAGTTCCCCTGGAGACTTCAGACTTCAGCCCCCTTGGCTCTGATTGGGTGACTTGAGTTATGTACCATCCTTGGATCCGGAGCCACAGAGTAGTGACAGGTGCACCAAAGTCATGGGAGGGGAGAGAGGGGGAGTGATCCAAACAAGGAAAATTAAAGTGGTATCATCAGAATACGGAGGAATAGATGTCAGCACTTATTTGAATGCTTCATTATCCCATCTTCATTTACCAAATCAAAAATGCCTGCAGTTTAATTAAAAATAAAAAACAGGTGTTGGTAAATAAATGCACCTTTAAGACAAGACTCCTAGCCAGATTGCCATCCAAAGAGCCTCCTCTGAAAAAAATCCTGAAGCTCGCACCAGATGTCAGGCAGAAAAAACAGCAGATGTTCTCTACCATTAACCATATTTCCACATGCCTATTAGATTCCACCTAAAACCTTCAACAACTGGTATGTAATCCAAGTCCAAGTATCCAAGCATCTTCTCCTACAAATCTGCACATCTTACCATCCTCTCTTTTGTATTAAAAACATCAGTATTACCTCGTTAGGCAAATTAGAAGGGAAGACATTATCTTTGGTTTATCACTACTTCTAACTCCCCATGTCTTCCTTATGAGATTCTTCTGACTCTACTTAGAAATATCACTAACCCTTACTCCTGTTTATATCCTCCCAAAACCTACTGCTACTGTTCAGTTCAAATTCTCTTTTCCCTAAATTTGAATTATCTGTTAAAAAAATCACATATCTGATCATGGTACTCACTCTTTTTTAAGAACCTTTTCTAGAAGCAATTTAGTAATAAGCATCTTAAACCTCAAGATGTTCTTATCCTTTGACTCACTAATTTCTCATCTGGATACCTATCCCAATGCAGATCAAGATTCATGTATCAAAATATTTTTTTATAATTCTTGCCTACCATACAGAAGGTTTTGGGTTTAACTCCCCAGATCACAAAAAAAGGTCTAAGCAAATTGATTCGCCAATATGACAAAATATTATAAAATCATTGACAATTAGGTTTCAGACAAATTTGGGGAACACTGAAAATTTCTCATAGTAGAATTTTAAAAAATGTATAAAAGCAGAATACAAAAAAAATACAGAATGAGCTCAGTTGTATAATACAATGAAGACTGTAGCAAAAGACACACATTAAAAGTTTTGTAATATTATGGGTAATTTAAAAACTTTTCTGGGTGTATTTTCTAGGTTCTTTTAAAAATACATAAGAGGAAAGAATCTTTTTTTCTCAGAATTTGTCACGAGAAGAGAATTCTGTTAGGAAAAATACCTGAACGAGTGCTTGGCACAAAAAATGAGAGCCTAAATGAGCTGAAGGTGGGCAGAGCTGTTCTGCATAAGGAATGAGGATGAATTCCTAGCTCCAGGAAGATGAGGGAGGAATAAAGTCAGAGAGATGACAAAATTACGAGTCTCTCCAAAGCCTCTCAAATCTTGAAGTTTTTTTTTTTTTTTCAATTCATGAATTGGTAGGTGGATTTTTAAAAATGGAAACTGGAGAAATGGGGCTTCTCATCTGAGCTGATGTAGTAGGAAGCAAAGCCACAGGAAAAGAATCGTAACGTTATGGAGGAGGAAGAGGGGAAGCCCTGGATTCTGACAGGAGGTGAACTTGGAGTTCAAGCCATACTAGATTTTCAAGTGGTAGAGTAGTCCAACTGATATTTCAATCACACACACCCAGTGCTTCCGTAATTAGGAAAAAAATAATGAAAGTAGCTTTAAACAAACATTAGGCAACTTCTAGTTGACCACAGAATAAAGGATCAGCTACCCATAGTGACACAAAAAAACGTCCAACTGTTACTCGTGTCCTAGGTCAGAGGCTGGGGCTGGACCAGGTCCAGCTACTGCTGTCTGAAGAGTGCAGTTAACAGAGACAGAGTTGGTAGTGAAACAGGAAAGGAGTTTATCTTGGTTCAACCAGACCAGGAGATGCTTGTCTAGAAAAATTCTCTCCCATACATATGGGAAGGACAACAGTGGAAGCTAAGACAGACAGACAGACACACACACACACACACACACACACACACACACACGCTGTGGTTTGGCAGCAAGTGTGGTTCTGCAGGGTCCTGCTTGTATCCTTCTAGGGCCAGGGTTTGGAGGGCAGTTTCCATTCAGTTTCTGTTGCCAGTCTGAGATGACTGAGGGAAGCTGGGACATAGCCCTCAGAAGGAATTTGTCATGCTGATACCTTGATCTCAGGTTTCTCACCTTCCAGAGCAGCAACAATAAAATTTTGTTGTTTGAACCACTCAGTGGCAGCCCTGGAAAACTACTCCACACCTCTTCTCTGTAGCTTGCTGTGACATCCTCGTCCGCACTCTCCAGAACTAGTTAGGTTTCATTTGGGTTCTAGTACATTTTATAAAATCATACATACCTTACAGCAGCAATGATCATATTGGATTTAGGAAACTATGTATTTACACTTCTAGAATATGTATGCTGTTTATGCTTTTAGAGTCTCTAATCCTCTTTCTTTACTTAATCAAAATCTTAACCTGGGGGGCTGGGGTTGTGGCTCAGCAGTAGAGCGCTCACCTGGCATGTGCGAGGTCCTGGGTTTGATCCGCAGTGCCACATAAAAACAAATAGACAAAGATATTGTGTCCAACTAAAAAATAAATATTAAAAAAAATCTTAACCTGGTTTCTCAAGAAAACAGCATGCAACAATGATTAAGGCACTGATGTTATAATGGGAAAGAGTAAACCCAGAACAGTAAAGTTGAAGAAAAGGAAATGAAGAGAGGAAAGATCCGAAGCAATTGAAGTGACATTACTGCCTGGCCACTACTGAGAAGAAACAGAACAGGTGTAGCCATGTGGC